CTTCTTACTGTACTCACATTCGAGCTGCCATCTCTGGCTTACAGGAGGGCAGGACGAGGTAGAAGATGCTTGCTGTTTGGAAGAAGCGTCCCCTTCCCCAAGAACATCAGGAATCTGGCTGTCTGGAGTACCTCCTCTCCTCAGGAGAGGCTGCAGCCTCTTGGAACCTGCCTCTGGTTCACTGGCTCTCAACCTCTAGAAAGCATGATCTGATGTTATTAAGCAGGTGAATGGAACTGGATTCTTCTCTCTCTGGGTGGGTCTTCTTTACAAATGTTTGCAGCTCTCTCCATTTTTGCAGGATTTCCTTTATTTCTGAAGAAGAACTTTGCTGCACTGACCACTGATACTCCTGCTCCCCTTCAGACAGCCCCTCAGCTGCCATTCTCTGTCACTCACTCAGAAGTTGCTGATGGTTCCTCTGTAGACAGCTCCTCTGCGGTATCCTCCACCAGTCCTTCAGTATTGCTGCAGGGTATCTATGAGCCTACAGACTCTGCTGTAGTGCAGTGCCATCAACCACATGATCATTTACAGCCTCAGTCTCCTAGACATAGCCTTCAAAGTCTCCTGCATAATTTCAGGACACACTTTCTTCCAGGCAGATCTCTGTCCTTAGAGAAACACTGGTCCAGGATTTCTCAATTAACCCCTGAAAGGAAAGGAAGTTGTAATGTGTCTTCCAAAACTCTTTAAGGCTTAAACCTGTATCTGAGACCATCTGGAGGCACTTCAGGCAGAGTTCCTAGGTGCACAGCTTCTTAAAGTTATATATAACCTGCTGGTCCATGGGCTGCAGTAGAGACGTGGCATTAGATGGGAGGAACTCAACTCAGAGGCCTGGGGATTCTTCAGTCAATTCTTTTTCCAAGTCTTGGGGGTGAGCAGGAGCACTGTCCATGATCAGGGCAGTTTTGAGTGGTAAACTTCTGTCTTCTAGATATTTTTTAGCCGTAGGACAGCAAGTCTTCCTGATCTACTCAAGAAAAAGCACTCTTGTTACCTAGGCTTTAGTGTTAGATCTTCACATGACCCCTAGCTGGTAATCTTTATTTCTTTATGTCTTCTGAACTCTCCAGGGGTCTCAGAGTGATAAACCAAGAGAGCCTTTATCTTGAGGTCACCATTCACATTGGCACACAGCAATAAGGTCAGCTTAGCCTTCATAGGCCTGTGACTTCGCATTTCTCTTCCTTCTGGGTAATGCATGTTTGCCTGGGGGTTTTCTTCCAGAAAAGGCCAGTTTCATCACAACTGAAAATGTGTTAAGAGCAAAAGCCATTTCTCTGTGTCATCATTTTGAAGTGGAACATACAATTTTCAGCAACCTTTTTTATCATCACTGAATGCTTTACCATGCCTAGTTATGCTATGAACCCTAGTTCTCGCTTTAAAATTATAAAACCATTCCTTACTGGCATGAAATGTTTTATCATTGTCACTCATTGATGGATTATCCTTTAGAAGATCTGCATTTATAATAGCCTTTCTACCTCATATGTTGATTGTACCTCACTAACTTGAGTAACATCTTTAGCAATACTACCTTCCTTATACGAATCTTTTCTCTGTAAGACTCTCAAGATGATGAATTTTGATATGCTGTACATATTAGCAAGATCAGTCTCATGAACACCACTCTCATATTTCTCCACCATTTCCTTCTTTTTAACTGTGATTGCTTTCTCTACCTTCTCTTTCCTCCTTAGCTTCTTATTTAAGTGGTATCATCATAGCAATTATATAAAACATTGATTGAAATCACATCCACGGAAATGTGCATCTGGGCTCAGACCAAGGCTTACACACACTTCTGGTACGGCGAGTCTCTGTTTACAACCACAAGAGCAGCTGGCATTCAACAAAGAGAAAAAATACCAAAAAAAAAAAAAAAAAGTGAACAGAAATGTTGGAGCTGAAGAGTACAATAACTGAGCCAAAAAATATCAATTGAGGGACTCAAGAGCTGACTTCATGACATACTTACAAGAACAACAAACTCAAATACAGCTTACTTGAAAATACCCAAGCACAGGAATAAAAAATGAGTTAAAAACAAAAGGGATTCAGAAGACATCATCAAGCAGACACATGAACGTATTATGGGAGTCCTAGAGAAGAGACATATGAGCAGAAATCTTAGTTAACAAATAATGGCTGAAAACTTCCCAGATTTGAGGAAAGAGATGGACACCCACATTCAAGAAACCCAAGAGAGCTCAACTAGCAAGAACTCAAAGCAGTCTTCTCCCACATATGTTCTAACTAAACTATCAAAGTCAGAAGAGACACCAAGAATACACAGAGACCCTGTGAAGACACAATGACAAGGTGGCAATGTGCAACCCAAGAAGAAAGCGCAAGCCTGGGGAGAAACCAAACCTCTGACACCTCCAGCATCAACCACAGCCTCCCAAAGTGTGAGAAACCAATTTCTGTTGTTTAAGCCACGCTATGGCAATCTGCATGGCAGCCCCAGAAAATGAGTGAAATGAAGTAACATAATGAATCTAAAACTTGGTTTCCTGAGACCCATCCTTAACATTCCAGTGCAGAACCTCTAGGATTGGCCCCTGAAAAACATTTGTAGCAAGACCTCTAGAAAATTCTGAAAAAGGAGTGAAGACCCTGGGTTCAACACTCAGTGCCAGCTGGTTGTGGTGGTGCGTGCCTATAATTCTAAGACTTGAGGCTGAGGCAGGATGATCACTGCAAGTTCAAGGCCAGCCTGTGCTACAAAGTGCATTGGAGTCCAGTCTGAACTGCACAGCAAAAATATCTCAACCCCTCCTCCAAAAAACAACAACAAAAAAATCACCAGTGTCAAAAATATCTACCTACATACATATACAAATAGGAGGTGAAGATCTTCCTTCTATAGAAGCTACAGCATTTATCCCCACTAGACCTTCCTCATGAGAAACATGAATCTTCAAATAGAAAGGACAGGATGCTACACTGTAACACAGAGCATAGAAAGGTACAAAGCTTGCTGGGAATGCAAATATACAAGCGCAAAACATTGCAGTACTGCAGGTGGTATGTAACCTCCCTTTCCCAATTCTAGGGCTTGAACCTAGGATCTTCACATTGACCTATATCCCCAGCCCTTTTATTTACTTATTTTTTAAATTTTTGAGACATGATCTTGTTAAGTTACTAAATTCTCAGGCTATGAACATTGTAATTCTTCTGCCTCAGTCTCCCAGAGTGCAGGATTACCAGTATGTGCCACCATGCCTGCCTTTTTTTAAAAATAGGTGACAAACACCTTTGATCTCAGCTAGTTTGAGTATAGCCTGGGCAATTTAGCAAAAATCTGTCTCAAAATTTAAAAAATAAAAATAAGGGGCTGAGGATTTAGTTCAGTGGCATAAGCACCTTCCTTGCAAGTGTGTGGTCGTGAGTTCGATCCTTGGTACCGATAAAAACGAAAATAAATAAATAAATAAAAATAAAAATAAAAAAGGGCTCAGCACTCCATGGGTTCAATTTCCAGTTGTATAAAAATGAAACAAAACAATAAAAAAGCCCAAATAAAAACAAAACAAAACCTTTGTAATATCAATAACACAAAATGAGGGGCTGGGGATTTAGCTCAGTGGCATAAGCGCCTGCCTTGCAAGCAGGCAGTCGTGAGTTCAATCCCTGATAAAAAAGGACCAAAAAAAAAAAAAAAAAAAAAAAACCCACAAAATGAAATGCAGTTTTTATACATGAAATTAACAGCCTGAAATTTACTGTTAGATTTGTAAACCTCATGGTAACCACAAAGAACTACCTGTAGAAAATGACATTGAAAGAAAAAAAAAAAAGAAACCATGTCATTAAAGGAAAAAAGGAATGACAGCAAGAGAAAACAAAAGACAATACATAAAACAATGAACAAAATGACAATAGTAACCACGTAAGTAAATAAATGATGGATTAAACCATCCAATCAAAAAATGGAGAGAATGTATGGACTTAAAGCAACACAAAACAAAACCAAGCTCCAACTATCTGCAGTCGACTGGCATAGATTGAAAGTGAAAGACATAAAATGATACTCTACACAAATGATATGCAAAAGAGCAAAGGGATAACAGATAAAAGACATTTTAAAATTAAGTTTAATTCAAGACTATCACACGAAACAATTACATAATAGGATAAATTCACCAGAAACACATCACAATTATAAATACATATGCACCTAGCATTAAAATATTTAAATATATGAAGCACACATTAACGAAATGGAATCATGAAAATAGCAGCTGATTTTAAACTCTCCAGTTTGCACACTGGTGAGAACACCAAGACAGCGGGTCAACAAGGAAAGGAAGGGCATGAATGACACTGCGGACCAAGTGCTGCCAGCAGAAAGGCACGGAACGTTCCACCAATGTTACAGACTCTTCTCAGCTGCACACAGAACGTTGCGTAGGCAAATCGCAAGTTCTATCTCGAATTTAAGAAGACAAATTGTACCAAGTATCTTTTCCAACCACACTGGAATAAAGCCGGAAATCAACAGCAGGAAGAAAACAGGAAAATTCACAAATCTGGAAATTAACACGCTCTTCAACAACCCAAAAGATCGAAAAAAGAGCTCAAAAATAAATTTAAAAATAAATTTAAACTTTGAGACAAACTAAAACCAATGTACAACAAATTATGAGATTCAACAAAACAGTCCCAAGAGGAAAGTGATAAACGCCTAAAATTTAAAAAGAATAAACACGCAAAAATCCTACGCGGCATCACGATAGGCTCTGGAGCCCTAAGAACAGGGAGGTGAAAGAGGCCACTCGGTCTGGCCGCCTGGTCCCGCCCGGTGCGGACCACTCAGACCCATGTCACCGAGCAACTTCAACCCCAGGGCTGTTCGTACCTTGGGACTGACCTTGCCCTGAAGTGAGGGCAAGCAAGGGTTCCAACTGTGTCGATGACCACGGAGGAAGGCAGAATCAGCTCCAGTGCTGCCCGCCACGACCCCAGGCTTTTTAGCCCCTTACCTGCGCCAGAGACCGCAGCACAGGGACCACCGCCATTTCTCCGCCGCACCGGAAAACCGCGCGCCGGCCACTTCCGGTATTCCCAACGAGGAGACCGGAGCCGGAAGAAGCTTCTGTGCGTGCCTGCGTGCTGCGGAAGTGGCCATGCGCGTGACGCCACCGGCAGGGGGCGGGGCCTGGGCGGAGAGCGGTTCGCGCGCTTCGGGCCTAGTCCGGACTCGCCTCCGCCGCCGCCATATTCCCGGTAACGGGGGCGCGCGGCCGGGGTTGGCGGCGCCGGAAGAAGGGTTGGGGCTGGCGCCGTGTCGGGGAGGGGATCGGTTGAGCTCGGAGCGCCCGGGGCGGCGGGTGGTGCGAGCCCTAGAGGGAGGGGCGAGAGCGCCGGCCCGGGCTATAGGAGCGAGTGGGAGGCCTGGCCCGGGGTGAGCGCTGGGCCTGCAGGAGCGGGAACCGAGCAGCAGAGGCGCAGGGAGGCGCGGCGAGCCGGGCTGCGGCGCGGCGTCCTCCGGCCCGGCCCGAGCGCCAAGGCCTGCGCCGTGCCGACTGGGCCGCCCGGGCCCGCGGGTGATGGGCAGCGAGCCCCGCGAGCCCGGGGCCTGGGCGGCGCGAGCCGGGGCGGGGCGGGGCGGGGCGGGGGCCGGGCCGGGACTGCGGCTCCGGAACTCGAGGCTGGCTGCCGGGCCTCCTCCCGGCCTGGGACCCTCCTGCCTGCTAATCGTCATCCTCTCTGAACACTGCAGTGGCGTCTGCCTCACTTTGTCCCTTCTCCGGGCGCGGGATCGTCCTTCTGGAGCCATGTCAGAAGGAGTGGACCTCATCGATATCTATGCCGACGAGGAGTTTAACCAGGTGAGGGCTCCTCCAGATATTTGGGGTTTCGCTCGACCACTGCCAACTAACTTAAGTGGTTTCACACGGTGCCAGAACGGGGCTTGAACAGACATCTATCTTTTCAGGTCTAAAAATTTCCCTCTAACATCTAAAAATTTCCCCCTAGTGGAGACACTACTGACCGATCTGCTTTATGTTAATTTGAACCTCCAGGCTTAATTTTAAAGGGTTTGATTTAAAAGCAAATAAAAGTCAAGTGCAATAGAATGGTGAATCAACCTGTGGAATTTGCTCCCCTTGGAAGCCAAAGTTGAAACGTTAGCATTGAAGACAAACCACAACGATTAAAAATCAGAATTTTGTTATGGTGTTCGAGAGCACAGTGTTGGTAATGTCCAAGTAGTACCAACTTGGTTGTGATTCTCTTGAGACTGCAGTTAGAGAAGGTAGCCAGCACCCCCCCACCCCCAAAGTGCAATGTCTGATTCAGAGATACTTTAACATTCAATTTCATCTCCATTCCAGTAGTTTTAAGTCTAAGGAGCTTTATTGATCTTTTGCTGTTTTTGGAGGTGGGGATAGAGTACAAATTTTAGAAAGGCAAGTATAGACCCATTCACATAGCTTAGGTAGGATTTGTTGGTACCCCTCTGTTTTTACTGCATGAGAGAACATCATACAAAGATGTTTCCTAAAATAACAATTCATGAAATTCAGTTCTGTGATGGTGAGATCAAATCCCAGGACTGTTTCAAGGTCTCCACTTAAAGCTTACTAATGTGTTACCTGAGTTATTTCTAGCCCTATGCCACTTGGGCATGCTAATTCTTCCCATTGCATCTTCCAGTGGGTGCACGTAAGCATCTGGAAAGAGAATTGAAAAAAACAGACTAGGGAAAGAGAGTTCCCAGTTAGACCTTGACTTTGATATGATGGAACAAGAAAACTCGTACATGTCTTTTCTTTTTTCTTCTCTCAAATTGGCCTAAGGTTATATTTTAAAAAGTGTAAAGCATTTGACTTGTAAATGTAGTGGTTTAAAGCAACACAGAAATATCATAGTGTAATGACCTTGTACCGTTATACAGCTCCACTAGTTTACTTCTTTTTTTTTTTTTTTCTGGTGCCTGAGATTGAATTCACAGCCTTGCACTTGTTAAGCCCAAGCTCCATCACTGATACATCCCCAGGATCTGAGTATACTTTTTTAATAGCAGTTTTCTCATGTCTCTTGCTAAACTCTAGAGTCATCTACAGATGACTACTAATTGTCTTAAATACATGAGAAATTTTTTCAAGACATCAAATAAGCCAAATTATGGCTATACGAAAGTTTGTGTTAATTTACATGTGAAATCTTTACTTTTCTGAGTTTTACATAGCTCCTTGAATCAGAATTTTGATACCTTTGTAAATTATGGACTTTTTCTTTTTAAGAAACGAAGGCTCTCAGTTACCTTTATAAGTAAGAGCTTTTTTTCTCCTTGAATTCCTTAGCTGTGTGTTGTTAACTACTGCTGATTAACTTTGGAAAATAGGCAGAATAGGAGCTTGATCACAGGTCATGTTTGGTTTAAGAAAATGATTTCATAATTTCTACAGCAGTGTAACTTATAAGTCAGAGATAGGACATGGACCTTCTCCAGTGGTCTTTACTTTGTCAGAAGTCATTGACCTCAACAATTTGTTTTCTGTTGTTTTTAGTTACGTTACCAGAGTGCTTTTTTTTTTTTTTTATGGGCGTAGGACTATAGATATTGTATGTACTCTACTAGATATTTATGACTAACAGGAGCTATTTGATGCTGGCCAAATGGGAGAAAGTGTAGATTTTGAAAGTTTTATGTGCAGAGAATGTGGAAGGGACACTGTCTGTCCCCAACGAGTTAATTTTTGGCAAAACGGGTTTTAGTATAATCTGGCAACTGCTAAAGAAATGGTAAAAAGTCTGAATAGTATTTGTTAGCTGGCTTATGCTGAAGGCAGCCAGCGTAAATTGTGTTTTAGAATGTTTTAAAAACATTGATTTGCCCTAACCTTACCTGACAAGCATTCCCTTGCATGCACTTTGGTTCCTAAGGAGAATTCGCAGTTCATAGATGGAGCCCAGGATACTCATGCCCTGGTCTCTTAGAGCAGAGCTGCTTTATTCCTGTTCACTTGAGAGACCTGGGATTCACAGCTGCTCTTGCAGACTGGGAAGGAAAACTGGAAAGGTGACCAAGAGTTGGTACTTTGTCGAGTGTTTTGTCTTTGTTCCTTCTCATGCTGACAAGGGCTTGTAACTGTATGCCTATTTCTCTTTCTTCCATAAGCAAGTGTCTATGTGTTTGCCAGGGCAGGTGGAGTTAAGGAGGCAGAATGGATTCATGTACTTAAAACAGATTCCAGTCTTGGTGGGGAAGGGTGGTGGTGATCTAGAGACAGGTGTAGAGAAGGGATCATGTAACTGTGATGGAGAGGCAAAAGCATAAGGGGAGGTTGTCATTAATGAACTCAAACACCTTGATCTTTGTCTATAGTAAAAATAAACAGTGGCATCCAGTTGGTCACTTTGAGAGAAATAAAGTCACAGCTCAGTTATGTTCTTTAGTCAGATACTAGGCAAAAGGGGCATGAGTGTGGGGACATTGAACATATTGGAAAAAAAATTTTTAAAGTAATGGAGACACAATCTCAAGTATTTCTTTGCTATTGAACACAAAACTTTTCCTGAGATAGTCAGTCATTAGGAGCATATTTCCTGTTTGATCTTCGTAGCAAGAAACTTTTAATGTAACTACATGTTAAACGTTTTTCACTGAATTTGTAGAATTAGGTTTTATTTTAACCTAAACTCTCACTGAATAAATCACCAGCTTCGTTAATGAGAAACTGCAGGCAGTCCCTGGTTTCTGTCTTAGTAACCTGCTGGTGCTGGAGTGTTTAAACCTAGATGCAGCTAGACACCTCATTTTCTTTAGTAGAGCCCTCTATAGGCCTCCACCAGACTCTGAACTGAGGAGTTTTGCCCCCCACACCATTTGAATCTTGAATCCTTTGTTTCTAAAGTGATAGTCCATAAACCTGAGTTACAGCATTGGGTCTGTCCTCGTCTTTAAGGGACCTTGCACGGTAGACTGGTTTTTTTTTTTTTTTTTGTATTGGAGCTCACAGTGTAAGGGATTCCCTGGGGATCCATTTCGTCTCTGTGCTGTCCAGATCCACTTGTTAGTTCACCAGCCAGTTTTTAATATTACAACTTTTAGATATGTTCCATTGAATATCCAAGTGTGTTTCTTTATTCCCTTTAAGTATTATTTGAAAACCTTTGCTTTAAGTCCTTGTGTAAGGAACACATGTACCTTGAATTTGTCAAGGGATTGGTCCCAGGGTCTTCCCAGTACTGAAACCCACAAGTGCTTAAGTTCTTTATATGAAATGATGTAGTATTTGCATATAATCTGGAAACATTCCTTCCATGTACTTTAATCACCTGTAAGTTATTTGTACTGAATATGGTGAAAGTGCTTCATAGTTGTACTATACTTTGTGGGTTATTACTTATTACTATATTAATTTTTGACCCATAATTGCAGAGCACACAGGGTGCTGGCGGGAGCACCCTTAGCATTAGGGCACTGGCTGGAACCAGATGACTCACCAGCCCTTTTCTTACCAGGAAACACAGGACAAATCACCCTGCCTGATCCACAGGTGGGTCGGCAATTTGTCTAGAGCTCAGAAGATCCAACCCAGGGACTAATGCATATTAGGCTAGGACTGTGCCACTGAGCTTCATCCCAACCCCGCATCCTTTTTATGTTTCTGTGTGTTTGAGGGAGGTCTCACTATGTAGTACGGACTGACCTTTATTGCTTATGTATCCCAGGCTGGCCTTGAACTCGAGGTGATCCTCCTGCCTCAGCCCCCAAGTGCTGGGATTTCAGGTGTAAGCCACCACATCCAGCTTCTTTGATTGTTAATAGAAAGCTGGATGGCCTCCCATGAACTTCAGGGAAAGATTTAACTCAGTAACTCCCAAGCTTTTTGAGGGGTTGATACCTGCTTCCACATGCTTCACCCACTTCATATTTCTAAGTAAGCTTATTCAGTTTCTTACTGAACAGAAGAGTACTGCATAATTTGGTTTTGGAAACATCTTGAGATGTTGGAGCTGTTTCCATTAGATGCAGTGTTTAGATGCTGGCCTAACTGAAGATAGTGGCACAGGCATCTTACTATTCCTTCTGAGTTTGCTTGCTTATGGGTCCTTGTTCTCATCAGTAGCTAAAGCCAGAAATGTCGTCCTGCTCCTCAGGAGGTCTGCATAGACCCACACAGGCATAACCAAATTTCAGATGCTTTCCTCAGCAGGGCTGGGAAGTTTCATACATTGTTTTACAAAGTACTTGCTTATGGTTTCTAAGTAAGTTAGAAAGAAGCAGAACAAAAGGAAAGGTCTGCGACCCTCCTCTGGCTACCCCCTCATGTTGTAGGACCCAGAGTTCAACAATACAGATCAGATTGACCTGTATGATGACGTGCTGACGGCTACCTCACAGCCCTCAGATGACAGAAGCAGCAGTACTGAGCCACCACCGCCTGTCCGCCAGGAGCCCTCTCCCAAGCCCAACAACAAGACCCCTGCGATTCTGTACACATACAGTGGCCTGCGCAGTAGGCGAGCAGCCGTCTATGTGGGCAGCTTCTCTTGGGTGAGCATGGCTAACCAGAAGGCTTGGGGGGCCGGAGGGAGAGCCCGGGGAGGTGATGGCATATCGTAGACCGCTGCTGCACTGCTTTGTGCTCTGATGGGGTTGGATTTCTTTTTCCTGGGATCAGGTTGGATTGATCTCTGAAAGAGAACTATCCTGAGGACGTACTGGTGCCGAAGAAAGCAATGATTAAGTGGGTAGTTGCTCTTTCTGCCATCTTATTACTGCCCCTGAACCTGGGGCTTTATGTCTAGCAGAGTCACCTGTGGGACAAGCTTTCAGAGTGAATACCTTGAACTCTTGGTGGTCATTAGATGTCCTCTGATAACGGGTGACAAGGATCAAAGGCCTTGGTAGCTCTAGTACACTGGGGCAGGTGGTGACTCCTGCAGAAGTTACTGTGTGGTATGTTTTGGGCTGGTGGTAGGGATGATGGTCTCAGGTTAGGTGCTGAGGGCAAAGTCATGGCAATGGTCAGCTCTAGCGAGTCTGATCTGTAATTAAAGTGTTAGCAGTCAGTGTCTGGATCTATGACCTACTGGCCCAAATGGCAGTCAGAGTGGAAACCAATGTTAATCCCTAAAGATGGGAATTGAGGGTGGTGTGAAATTCTGTATGCATGAGGACAGTGATAAAAGCCTGTGCTAACTGAAATGTGGCTGGGAAGTTGGTTTTCCTGTGGGAAGGCATGGCTGTTAGTAGAAGCCTAGGTTTGGGAGCAGGGTTTAGACTTTCTTCTGGGCGGGTGGGGAGGAACATGTAGCTCTTGACATTTTCCTTTTTTCATCTTGCCGGCCTCAGTGGACCACAGACCAGCAGCTGATCCAGGTTATTCGCTCTATAGGAGTCTACGATGTGGTGGAGTTGAAATTTGCAGAGAATCGAGCAAATGGCCAGTCTAAAGGGTAAGTCCCAGGGTCAGGAAGCCCTTCTGGTTTGTAACCGATAAGGAAACAGATCTTCCCCATAAAACGACCCTGGATCCCAACCCTCTAATTTTGGGCCATCTTTAACAAACTGCCTTAGGACAGGGTGATCCCCGTCTCAATGTGGTGGAGTACCCGTCTGTTGAGGGCACAGTGTTGGTTTGTGGTTATTCCCATTCTTGGTATTTTTGTTTTTGTTAGTTCATTGCCAGTACCATGTACCAAACCTAAGGGCACTATATGTGTGGAGCTACATCCCCAGCCCTTTCTATTTTTTGAGACAGGTTCTGGCTAAGTTACCCAGGATGGCCTTGAAGATCCTTCTGCTTTAGCCCATGAATAGCTGGGATTTCAGGTGTGTGCCACGGTGCCCAGCAAGATTGCTGATTTTTAATTCTCTGCCCTCAGATCATAGTCTGGCACCTTTTGTTGCTGTTGAGTGTATGTTTAGCGAATATCTTTTGCCTTGCTATTTTTTTCTGAAAGTGGAAGTTTGTGTTCTCCTCCTGTCTGTCTTGACTGTTTTCACTCATCTACTTTTCCTCCCTCAAGGTATGCTGAGGTGGTGGTAGCCTCTGAAAACTCCGTCCACAAATTGCTGGAGCTCTTGCCAGGGAAAGTTCTCAATGGGGAAAAAGTGGACGTGAGGCCGGCCACCCGGCAAAATCTGTCACAGTTTGAGGCCCAGGCTCGGAAACGTGAGTGCGTCCGAGTCCCGAGAGGGGGTACGTGGAGACTATCTGTGTGGGGGGAGGTTTGGGTCTGTTCACTGTGGTGGGGAGGAGGCGGGAAGGGAAACACAATGGTGATGGATGATGGGGATGGTCCAAAGAGGGTTGGTAGTGAAGGTCAGGTAAGTTCTGGGTGCTTGGTGCATGATGTGGACAATGTACTTTGCTGTAAGAACTAATTTCCATCTGAACTAGACGCTCTGTGTTTGAAATTTCTGTCAGCTATGAATTTTGTGTTTCTGTCTGAAAACTGGCTCATTCATGAAGCCTGCCTCTCTTGCCCACCCTAAAATGTAACTAAGTTGCACAGAGATGGCTGTGGTCTTGTCAAGAGTCATATGCCAAAGGCTGCTCTGCATGGTGCAAACCAGGAGTGTTGGAGAGTGCCTTCCCCGCAGAATACTTCTTGCAGCTTGGGGAGAGTCCCATTGTCCAGCTTTGCTGGATGACAGTGTTCCTTCAGTTGATTTTACTCCTTTATCCTAACTTTGTATTTACCAAACTAATTTGGTTTTCCAACTAGGCTCCTACTGGGCCGAGAATGTGCTGACCAGCCAACATAAGTATTCTGGTCTGCCTGGTAGTTACATTTCTCACTGTAAATTAATCAGTCGGATTTTTGAATCAGGCGCTTGTGAGCTTAGGTAGCATGAATCACTCTCCAAGGGTCCACTTTCCTGTGGTGAACTGGTAAGGTCTTGTTTCCAAACTTGCAAGGTCTGAATACCAGACCTCAGATGGTCCTAGCCTCATAAGGTGCTGCCACTCTCAGGGCTTGGTGGAAGCCAGTCACCCAGCCATGCATCGTGGTGCCTTCCTATAATCCCAGAGCTTTGAGTGACTGAACCACAAGGATTGTGAGGTCAAGCCCAGCCTGGGTAATGTAGTGGTTTATCAAGACCCTCTCTTGAAAGTGGAAAGGGACCTGGGGTGTAGCTCAGTGAAAAGACTGGGTCCACTTCTTAGCACAGTTCCAGCAGCTGTGGCCTGTCATGCTTGTGCCTAACCCAGAAGCACTGTGCCCTATGTTGGCCTGGACGTGCTCAGGTGGAAACCCGGCTACTCCCTGTGTTTGTGAGAGCAGCTATTCCTTAGCTCAGCTGCCAGCTGGCAGAGGCTCACGCCTGTCTTCCGCAACAGCTCTCCTTCCTCCTGCTGCAGGGCCCTCAGTCTTGCCTGAGGTGCTCATCTCCCAGGCCTGTTGGGGTGGCCTGCCCTCCTCACTCTCTTGCTCTTTACTCCTCACAGTGAACCCTTCTTTTCTAAAAGCTGGCCACAGCAGTGCCACCCATATGCTCCAATGCACTTGATCAGTCAGTAGCTTTCTCAGTGAGCCAGTGGCCAGGCTGTCGGGACTTGTAGCCAGAGATACAAAACAGAACCTTCACAGGTACAAGAGCAGTAGGTGGCCATCAGGATCCTGTTTGCTTAACAAATTTTCAGTTTATGAGAACTTGAGGAGGAAGCATGTAGCTGTGTGTTTGAGACACAGCCCTGGAAGCAGATCAGGTGAGGGTCTGTGTGCTTGACCCCTCTCAAGCCTCCTCAGGGTCACAGCTCTCTGATTAAGGAACCATTCTTCCTGCCACCTGCTAAGCTTCTTATGCTTCAGGCCTCCTGCAGGAGGCTTGTGGTCATGTTCTGTGGGCATCTGCAGAGCAGGCTAGTGAGCCCCATGAGGACATAGATGGAGCCAGTGTCTGCGTGAGCATGTGCTGTGTGGCCTGCTGGGGGGTGCCCAGTGGGTGAGGGGCCAGCCCTGGAGGTGTGGCAGGGTCCCCAGGTTTAAGGCATATTGTGCACCATGCTTTTGCAGAGGCCTTGCTCTCAGCAGCGTGCCATCTGTTCTGTAGACCGATCTTTGCTTGGCTTGTCCCCAGACTCTTTCTCGTTCAGCCTCCACTCTGCTACTTGTGTGTCTCTTTACTACCCTGGTACCAGTTTGGGTACATGAATAGAAAAAGTGAATCCATCTCCTGTCTTTCCTTTTCTTCCTCAAATGCCCTCCCAAAGCTTGAAGGAAAGAGCATTTCTGCAGATGGCACGATAGAGAAAATCAACTAGAATGAATCTTGGGAGAGGCTCTGGACTCTTCCCCTTCAGAGGAGTGGGTTTCAGGTCAGCTGGAACCAGAAGAGCAGTAAGGAACAGGCTTCAGTAGCGTCCTTTTCTCACGGGCCATTGGGATCCTCTTCTAGCCACATAGAAACAAATCCTGGGGTGGAGTTGGTGTCTCATGAAGCACTTTGGGAGTGCACTTACAGTAGTGTTGCTTTCTGGATTCCTGTCTTAATTATTTGAGATACTTTGACCATTTTCTCTGCAGCTAAAGAAAATGCCGTGGATGATTTTTCCTTTGTGCAGGTTCTGCAGTCCCCTCTACAGTCACAGCCTACTGAGGGGGTAAGCTGGCCCCAAGGGTGTGCCTGAAGCTTGGGCAGTGACACTGCTGTGCTTTGCCTTGTAGGAATACCTCCACGGGCCCACTCCCGGGACTCTAGTGACTCTGCCGATGGACGGGCCACACCCTCTGAGAACCTTGTCCCCTCATCTGCCCGTGTGGATAAGCCCCCCAGTGTGCTACCCTACTTCAATCGCCCTCCTTCAGCCCTTCCCCTGATGGGTCTGCCCCCACCCCCAATCCCACCCCCACCGCCTCTCTCTTCAAGCTTTGGGGTCCCTCCTCCTCCTCCTGGCATCCATTACCAGCATCTCATGCCTCCCCCTCCTCGATTACCTCCTCATCTGACTGTGCCTCCCCCTGGAGCCATCCCACCTGCCCTTCACCTCAATCCAGCCTTCTTCCCCCCGCCAAATGCCACAGTGGGGCCTCCACCGGAGACTTACATGAAGGCCTCTACGCCTTATAACCACCATGGCAGGTAAAACCCTGTTGGTGCCTTTAGGTGGGAACCAGGGAAGACCTTTTAGAGCCTTTTGTTGTCTCTGAAGAAGTGAACGCTAAAGTTTTCCCTCCTAGAAACCTTTGTCAGAGTGTTAAGCCCTCAGGCATGGTTTCCTGCTTAGCAGGGTTTAGGGGTTTTGTTTGTATCTTAATTAACCTGGAGACCCAAACCTAAGTAGTTTGAGGTTGAGTGCCCTAAATGGCTGCTGCACTTACACTATGTCTAGCACTGAGTCATGTCGAATTTAGGGAAGCTTGCGCATGACTGATGAGCTATTTGGGGAGAAGAGGAACATGTAGAATACATACATGAGCAGGCTGAGAACTTTTATGGTCAGCATACAGGGGCATGAACCTTGCTAGCACCTTAGTACGGGATGGGAAGTTGTGAGGGGTAGGCATTCAGAAAGGTGGTTATCTTGCAGCCGAGATTCAGGCCCCCCGCCCTCTACAGTGAGTGAAGCTGAGTTTGAAGAGATAATGAAGCGAAACAGAGCAATTTCCAGCAGTGCCATTTCCAAAGCAGTGTCTGGAGCCAGTGCAGGTAATTCACCTTGCTGTCTGTGCCTTTGTTTCCCATTGTTTCTCATTTCCACTGGTTAAAGTTCAGTGAGATGAAGATGAAACACTTAGGTTTCAAGAATGGCATGGTTCAAATCACATCTGTAATCCCAGCACTCAGGAGGCTGAAGCAGGGGGATTGCTGCAAAGTTGAGACCAACCTGGACTCCGTACTAAGAAGGGCCAACCTGAAGTGTATAATGAGCATACTAAGACTCTGTCTCAAAAAAACAAAAGGAGTGGCACACTTAGGGAGCTGGAGTTTCAGGTGTTGGTTGGATAGAGTCTGGTTACCTCAAGGCACCTTGACAAGCTGCCATCCTTGGGCAGCTGTGGGGCGCTCCGAGACACACCGTGCCCTTTCAGCTAACTTTTGCTTTTGTGCCAGAATTAGGTGGGCCCAGTCAACAGCTGTGATTCTGAAGGCCTTAAGCATAAAATCTTTGGTCCTCAAGGAGAATTGATACGTGAGGTTTAGGGCTGGTCCAGGTGTCCCATGGTGATGTTAGTCGCCATCACTGTCTTCCCATGGGTTTGCCATGAGTGTGAGCCCTATGGACTGTCAGCTTTCCTACAATATAAGTGTCCCTGAATGCTGCATGGCCTTCTGTTTCAGTAAGTTCCCATATGGTAACTGCTAACCCTGAACATGTATAGCAGGTTGCGATAGAAAAGGGTGTGTGTTCCATCTGAGTAAATCTTTAAAAGTAATGTGTCCTTTTAATAAATCAGAGATACAGCAGAATTTAGAGGAAATGATCTTTCCTAACCCTGCCAATCCCTTTACTCCAAAATGATCAGCAACTAAATTTTTGTTTTTTAGATGTTCTCACTGTGTAGTCCAGGCTGGCCTTGAACTCACTAGCTGACTCTGGCCTCCCAACTCACAGTGACCCTCCTGCCTCAGCTTCCCAAGTGCTGGGATTGCAGGTGTGCACCATTATCCCTCTGCTACACAGATTTTTTTTGAATGTTCCTCTAAACCAGATGTGCGCTCCCTACCATAGTGGAGCCAATGTTGGTATTCAGGGGTTCCATGAGATGCAGTTCATTCCTCCCTAGTTTCTGCCCACATCTGTGCCCTCCACAGAGACAGCTTCCTCTATTCCCCAAACTCTTCCGGTTGATACTTTACTGCTGTTTTCTACTTTTACTGCTCTTGACTTAGCCGAGAAAAACAGTGTTCGAGTCCCTACCCGTGACTGCTATTGCTGAGGCAGGTCTGCCCAGATTTGGGAAATGTAAAGGACTAGGTATTTGGGGCAGCATATTTTTTGAAGCTGTGCACATACCATTGTGTGCCATAGTACAGTAGCTCAGGCATCGGTAGGCCATACGTAGGCTAGTGGTCCCATAAGGTGATGTCGCCGTGTTTAACATTTATTGAGCCCTTATCCTGTGCCTGGCACTGTGCTAAGCACTTTACATGGATTGTTTTGGGTGACCTCGTGATTTTAATAACCATGCAGTGATCTGTGGAGCCATTCTGTAATTTTTATAGCTGGACCTGTTCAGAGCAGTTCAGCAAGTAGCACTGAAACATCACACGTCAGTGCACCTGCAGACCAGAGTGGAGAGCTCTCTGGTGAATCCCCAGTTAAATGGTACAGACAGGGCTTATCCTGGCAGATGCTATCCAGCAGCCTGGACAGCGGCGTACAGTGTGTCCATCCACTTAGCAGCACTGGGCGGATTCTGAGCTGCTGGGACATTTGTGTGTCCAGTTTCTTTCTTGTCATATCTGTGTCACCCATTTTACCACGGCTATGCAAAGCAGCCAATCTTAAGCTTGCACCCTTCTGGGTTCTCCGGTCGATGCCTTGCCCTGCCTCAGCCTTCTCTGTTTGCCCTGGCAGGGGATTACAGTGATGCAATCGAGACACTGCTCACAGCCATCGCGGTCATCAAGCAGTCAAGGGTGGCCAATGACGAGCGCTGCAGAGTCCTCATCTCCTCACTCAAGGACTGTCTGCATGGCATCGAGGCCAAGTCCTACAGTGTGGGTGCCAGCAGCAGCTCCTCCAGGTGAGCCTTCCCTTTCAGGGGCTGCCCAGGGGGTCTGGAGAGGAGCTCGTGGACCCTAACGGAAGTCATTTAGCTCAGTTAGAAGAGACAGGCAGACTGATTCAGTTAAATGGGTTCCAAAGCCCAAGAGCTCGGACTGGAACCTCTGTCGTGTATCGGCTCTGTTCAGAGTGGCCATCAGTGTGGCCATCTTGAGTATGGCAGGCAGTGTGGCCATCTTGAGTATGGCAGGCAATAGCTTTCCAAGTGTCGTTTTCTCATTTTTAGAAAAGGGACAGTGTTGTTTCTTAGGTAATAGACCTGTTGTAAAGATATGGTCAGGTGTGAGTACTATGCCTGATGCTCTAGACAGCTTAAAGAACATGAAACCCACCACTTTCTGAGCAAGATTTGTCCTCAGAGAGCTAAGGTGCTAAGACAGGACTGGGGCAGCAGCTCTAGCTGAGTGCACACCTGCCTTGCAGAAGGCCCTGTGTTCAACCCTGTCACTGCCAAAAAATCCTGTTCTGTTTTGCTTGATTTTATTCTGTCTGATGGTCTGGGCATCTATTTTGAAGATAATAAGAGACACAGTTGATTTCCTGCTATCCTGTTTTGAAGTCCTATATCACTTTCACTGTTTTGTTTTAATTGGCTTTATCCTGTTTTATTTTGTTTGGTTTTATTTTCTTACAAATATAAAGAAATAAAGTCCTCAGACTGGGTCCAAGACTAGGAAAGGAAGAGTAATGCAGGTGACTGTGGGGAGACACTCATCAAGAGTGTGAGAGGTCACTACATGCAGCTTACACATTTTTCCCACAGGAAAAGACATCGGTCCCGGGAGAGGTCGCCTAGCCGGTCCCGGGAAAGCAGCAGGAGGCACCGGGACCTGCTTCACAATGAAGACCGGCACGACGACTACTTTCCAGAGAGGACCCGGGAACACGAGAGACACCGGGACAGAGAGCGGGACCGGCACCACTGAGCAGGGTGAGGTGCCTGGGAAAGGGAGCTTTCTGTGTGTCTGTCTTTCTTGAGCACATAAAGGTGGTCGGTGGGGAGAGCTCTTTAGGCTTGGGGAACCAGCTGACCAGAGCAGGTTTCCTGCTTGTCGCTGGAGTGCCACCCTGAGCTGAAGCTGCAGGCTTCCTGACTGCCTTGCCCTGGTATCGGACCGGCCATCTCAAACTGTGGCTGAGAGCAGGGTCTACTTTCTGGTGCTACAGTGTATGTCCCTGCCCTCTCCTCGGAAACCAGGCTGCTTTTCTTGATTCCCTTCCCGGTGTGCAACTATATCTCAGAAGTACAGTCCCCATAGCTTTCTGAGTGGCCCGTGAGGTAATCTGTGGAGCCCTTCCTGCTCATCTGCCTGTCGTATAGTAAGCGCTGAGTGAATGCCAGCCATGTCATTGTTGTCAGTCTTATCTCCTTCAAACACATAAGTAAAAATTTAGAAATCAAGTTCGAGGTCAGCCTGGACTACATAGTGGGTTTAAGACCAGCCTGAACTGCACAGTGAGACCCTGTCCCAGAATAGAAAAAAAGAGGGAAATTGACCAAGGCAGAAAAGACTATTACCTGCTTAGTTTTCAAGGCATGTTAATAATTTTAAGATTTAATGTCTGTTTTAAAATATTAAAAATTTGGGATTTTAGAGGAGAAAACTGATCTGAAAATAATTACAGCTTTAAGCTCGGTAATAGTGGTGCACGCCTATAATCCCCACACTCAAGAGGCAGAGGCAGGAGGATCACTGCAAGTTTTAGGTCAGCCTGGGCTACTTAGCAAGAAAAAAAAATTATAGCTTTGAGACTATGGAGGATAAGTAACTTTACTGTGTCCTAAGATGAAGCCAGGGGTGGTAGTCTCTTAGCTTAGGTAACAGTAGTTCCCCCAAGGGTCATCTGGCTCCAGGGGCTCCAGGGCCAGTCCCGGACTTAGTATTTGCCTACTGCAGCCCTGTGTCTCATGGTTTTATCTTCAGAAGGCTCTCGGAGATCTGGCTCCGGGATGTCCACCAGCTTGACCCCAGCCGCCTTTGGGAGGAGCTTGTGGTGTGGAAGGGAGTGTGGGTTCCGTGGAGAGCAGCAGAATGGGAGGACCTGGGCCAGAGCTCTGCCTGTCTCCTGGGAGCCAGTGCAGGACCCTGGGAACCTCAGGCTTTTCTCAAGGCTTCAGATGCAGATTTACAGGTCTCTGGAGCTTTCCACTTGGTTTCACGTCATGTACCTGGCACAGATGCCATAGGTGTCTTTCGCCTGCTTAACTCTTCAGAATAGTATGGTTGTTGAGAGTGGTGAGAAAGAATGGTGGCTCCACTTGGCAGCTTTAGGGTGAGTAGGTAAACGATGGGTGGGGAAGGGAAGCGAGGCTGGTATAGTAGCACATGCCTGGAATCTTCGCACTGTGGGATGCTAAGGCTAGAGGAGCAAAGTTCAAGTTCCACCTGACGAGACTATAGCTCAGACTTAAAAGAGAAAAACACAGGAACTGCACCCCATGGCAGAGTCCCCGGATTTGCTCCTCTGCCCGGGGAGCTGGCAGGGAGGCCAGGGAGCCTTGCCGCCTCCCTTTGCCCCTGTGGTTCACGGGCTGCCAGGAGCTCTGCAGTGCTTCGCTCGGTAACAGCCTCCTAACAGACAGGGAGCTACCGCCCAGCCTGCTGCTGCGCCTGCTGTGGTGTTTTAATTCCTTTTGACATGGACTTCAACAGGTTTATAGCCAGGAATTAATTTTGTCTTCTTTTACAGCATGTCGTAAGTGGCCAGAGGAGAAGGTACACATTCCCTTACCTGTCCTGTGATCCTAGCTGCTCACTGGCCACGCACGGTGCCTCTGAGGTTGGAGTGAGCAGTGGCTGGGACAGGGGCTGGCTGGGTCCCAGGGGTGGCCCCCTATGTCAGCGGTAGCTCTTGCTTCTCTCATTTGAGCAGGCATGTCTGTGGGCTGCTTGGGATCCAAAGCCACTGCCACCTCCCATCATGCTGGCCATGCAGTGTGTCCTTTAGGCCACCGGGCTGAGGATGGCCTGGATGGTGCTAGTTAATGGGTCCCTGCAGAGCATGACTGCATACAGTCTCCAGGGCCACATCTGGGTGACCAGTTAAAAGACCCCACATGTTGCTGTGTGTGCCAGCTGCCAGCCTTGACAGGCCCTGTGGGCAAGGCCTACTGCTCATCAGTGCCTGGGGTTGGCTCCTGAGCTGCCCCTTTGCCTGCAGGATGGGCCTGTTCTCCCAATACTTTGGAAACCCTGTGACCTAGAGCTGACACAGACTGCAGCAATGCAAGGAGCAGTGACTCTGAGACTCGACTCGGGCTCCCCACCACCTGTGCGCCAGCCGCCCCTTAGGAATGTGCTTTACTGTCTGAACTCCGGAAATGCCTGCCTTGTGACTTATGGATGAATTCCTTTGGAGGAGAATTGTTAGCAAGCTGGAGTAGGAAGTTCACACCTTGAGTGTCTGTCAGTTGGGGCTGACTGTAATACTCCAGTGCAGAAGTATCAGTATCTTAAGCTGCCCCCAGGGACCCCAAGTGCCACCTGCACTTACCAGTCGTGGCTTGGGGGTTCCGTGGCAGGGAGGCAGGCCCCAATGGCCTCGAGTCTGCAGTCATGCTGTCGAAGGGAATGGTACATAATTGTGAAGTGGCTCCTGCACGAAAGAGGGAGCATTCGCCCACCCACCTGCTTTGGGGCCAGTTAAAAGACCCCACTGCAGTGACCACTGCAGGGCCTCAGCACCAGAACGCTTGCCAGGCATCCTGCCTGGGGACCACAGTTCATTTTGGGTTGCCTCTTCCAGAATGTATGTATGCACTCTGAAATGTGAGGGAGTTCTTAGGTGGTCTGTGGGCTCAGCTTTAGTTTTGGTTTTTTTAGACAGGGTCTCACTATCAGGAGTCTATGGATGTCAGGAGTCTAGGATGGCACTGTGTATCTCAGGGTGGCCTGCTGCCTCAGCCTCCCGGGTGCTGGGATCACAGGTGGTACTGCCATGCCCAACCTGTTGTTCCGACTGTGTAGGTTATCTCATTGTAGGACATTTTCCTACAATAGTCGCTCTCACCTCATCCCTGTCCTCACTGAGCTTCATGTTTGGCGTCCATTTGCTTCAGTGCTCCAGAGACTGGAGGTGTGAGGTAGAGATCTCGTGGGGCTCCAGAGGTCCAAGGTAAAGTGTGGTGCCTTGCCTGTGTAGGTGTCCAAGGGTGTGCAATCCAGGGTCCCTTTTGCAAGCCCAAAGGGTCAGGCAGCAGGTAACTGTCATCTCCCAAGGCAGCCCCTCCCAGTGTGCGCAGGAGCTGGGTATTGATGTGGAGGCAGGCTCACTGTTGCGGGCCGAGGAGAAATGCCTTGCCTGGGCCAGCCTCGCACAGAAAAAGGAATCTCCTGGAATTTGAAGTTGGAATTTAGAACTCGGAGCTCCTGTTTCTCTGGGTCGTCAGCGCTGTTTGTCCGTTCAGACTGACCACTCTCACTTACAGTGGTAGATGCTTCTGTAATAGGCCAAGGAGCCTAGGTTGGTGGTGTAATGAGCAGCTCTTACTGTTGGTGACCGTTCTTAATGGTGCTTTTAGGTGCCTTTCCTCTCCTTCATTGCAACACTGGGGATTGAGCCCTCAGCTTTAACACAGAGTGACATCCCTAGTCCTTTTTAAAAATTTTTTGAGATAGGGTCTTGGTAAGTGCCTGGGTTTGGGCTCAGACTTGAGGTCTTCCTGCCTGCCTCTCTGAGTACTGGGATTACAGGTCTGTGCCTCCACAGCAGCTGCCTGCTTGCTTGCTTCCTGTCTGTTTGTCTTTTTGTTTCTTTTGGGGGGTGGGTACTGGGAACTCAGCATCTTACACTGTGCTACCAAGTTGCGTCCCCAGCCCCAGACTGCTTTTAGACTTCGATTCCTGACTAACTCTTTCTCCTGTGCTGTGCTTCACATTCTGGCCTAGCCAGATACTTCCTGCTGATTGGTCTTTCAGCCAGAGCGTCATTTGGGAAGGGCCTGGAAGAGCTCTGGTGCTGTGGTGCTGCGCATGCTCCTAGAGGCACTGTTAAGGGTCTATTTTAACTAGGTCTTGCTTAAAAGAAGGCAGTGAATAGCCAGGTGCAGGGTGAACACCTGTAATCCCAGCACTCTGGGAAGCTGAGGCAGGAGGAACACGAATTTGAGCCCAACCTGGGCAACTTAATGATAACAAGAACTTATCTCAACATAAAATATAGCAAATGAAAGTGAAGACAGGGAAGTGGGCATTTCCCGTGGCTGTGCGTGCTCCCTGGGGCTTTGAGGTTGTTTTGGGCTTGTGGATTTGGCCGTGTGCACACTTGTTTTTACCACTGTGCCTCCATTTCCAGATTTTTCTGTTCCCTTAAGGTAACCTATGACTTCTCAGAACAGGTTTTCTGACAGTAAGCTCACCCCACTCCCTTGTAGCAGTTTTCTGTACTTTGCCAGCACATGTCTCCTCTTGCGCATGTGTCGCCTACCCTGACGTGAGCCAGACCTGCCCTGCTCCCTGCAGCTCCTGAGTCCCTGGTTGATTGAGTGGAGACTTTGTACTCAATCTAGAGCAGCGCAGAATATTAAAAGAGAGGCGACAACTAGATAGGAAAAGAATTTAATGAGGGGAGCATAGAGGGAGTAACCATAGAGAAACCTGTGGCAGCTCTCTGCAGACAAAGGGCAGGTTCTACCTGATATAGGCGCTGATGGGGATAGGGCTCTGGGGACTGGTGTGAGCTGATTTATTTTGTGAGAGTGTAGGAGATTGAGTAAATCTTTACATACCTAAGCTTTGGCACAGACTTTTTGAGAGAAAGAAGCCATAGGGACTTCTGGGAAGAGGGAGTTAAGCATTATCAGGGCACAGTTTTTGAACCATTACCATGATGATTGTGCTGTCTCAGATGACAGGATCTAACATTGGCCACTGTTCTTCCCCATGGAGATTGCCACTGCATGCCCCACCCCTCAGAAAGTAACCTATTCTCTGATGTTCTTGTAGGAGTCTGATTGGAAGCGGATGTTTTTAATGGACTCGCATCGTATCTCCACCTTGATCAGGACTAAAGGACGGAGGCTGCTCCACTCTCCCCTCCCTCGACTCCCCTAATCCTGACACCCAGGGAACCCCTCTGCCCCACAGGTTTGAAGACGCTTGGTCCTTCGTGGCCCCATGCCTCCTGTTGCCTAGGGAAGAACCTAAGCCCACAAGGCCAGGGGGCGGCAGACAGGAAGCAGGCTTGTGCTGGGCCCCGGAACCAGAGAATGGTGCTTTGCCCGAAGAAACGTGCGTGTTTCTGGCTCCAGGCACAGACTGTTGATGGGGGCGGAAAGACTTCTTTCCTGAGGAAACGGGTCCTCCTTGCAGATCTCAGAGGTGATGGCTGTGCCAAAATCCACAGGCCCTGTCTTTAGCACTAGGTTTGAGGGGCGGAGAGTGCCCAAGCCCTTGCCGTGTACCATTTGTTAATGCCATTCCCGTCCCCGCCCTTTGAGAAGGGACCAGGAGAAGAGATGTCACCTAGTGACAAGCTCCTCTGGTCTCAGTTTCCCTTCACAGCCTGACGGTTCATGTTCCTGACTGCTAGAGCCGTCTGGCTCCCCGCTGCCCTGTGTCCCTGGTCCTGCCCTTGGCGGAGAGGCCATAAGGCCAGAAGCTGTGTGTGCGTGCAGTGGCCTCCCACAGTAACCAGCTCTGGGTTCCTGTCCCCATGAAGTATTGAGTCCCGCAGGCACCCTCCCCCAGGAAAGCTGCTTCCTTGTTTTAGAGGAAGTCACTGCTGCTGGGAGATGGGGCTCTCTGCACCTGAGCAGTGAAGAAGCCCAGCCAAGTGGCAGAGGAAGAGTGGGGAGGGGGTAGCCTGGGCAGGACCGGCCAACTCCCGCTCTCCCTTATTTGGACTCATGTCTGCGTAGGCTGCGCACATACCACACACATCCCTCACTGCAACAAAGACGGAGTCAGGTTTGGTGTCCTTTGGCCTTCTGACTTGACTCCAAAGCGCCACTGTCCCTTGGGCCCTTCCCAACTCTGAGGAGGATCGAGGGAGACACAGCCTCCTAAGGACTAGTACCCGAGCTGTTTTCCACCCAGGCAGATGAAATTGTTTTTCCGAAACACCTGAACTACCTTGTGGTTGTTGCTGAGGCAGCAGCGGCGGCAGCAGGGTCCTGGAGTCCCCAGGGCAAGGCCATTCTGCATGTGTCCCCACGACACATGACACCAAGCAGGAGGCCAGGTGGGGCTGAGGTGCAGGGTCCCAGGGACCCTTCTGGTTTGGGCGAGAGGCCAAGTGGGACTGAACCCTCCCTCTGTTCCCAGCACGTTTCTTAAGTACCCCTCAGTCACTGGGAGCCCCAGGGTTGGAGGGGCGCGTTTCTTCAGGACAGGCTACAGACTGGCTCTTCCCTGCCCCCTAGTCCTGTCCCCTTCGGCCTCAGGTCTCAGACCGCGGCCCCACCCCCCTGGCCAAGTGGTAAGTGATGTGCTCACTTATCCTTGAGAGCAGCTCCATGTGTCTTTTTAAAATGTAGAGAAAACCAAGTAAGGGGAGTCTAGGGAATACTAGAGAGTACCAGAAAAGCTGTTTACCTGGAGAATTATTTTCTCCCCAGTTTTTTGTTTTTACTCAATGACACAATTTTTAGTTTTACTTCCTGATAGGAAAAGAACCCCAACCCCTAAGAAGGCCACGGCCCCATCCCTAACCCTGTTGTCGGTGATTTGTTTGTCTTTCTGATAGGTTGAAAATTGTGTAATAAACTTGATGACGCTGTCAATCTTTTATACTGCATTGTATTTTTTTCCTTTTGTAACAGAATATTTTGAAATAATAAATGGGGTGTGTGCTGTTGTATGGATTCTGCATTGAATAGATTTGTGGAGGTATCTGGGGTGTGGGTATGGGCTGACATAGACACATGCTGTGGGATGGTAGTAAACCCCAAGTTCCTGTGGGAAATGTTCATTGAGCAAAGGGTCCTCTATAGCCAGAGGAGGAAGTCCCTCTGGAAGGTTAGCCTGTTCCTTGACCCCCAAAACGTCATGCTTAAAAAACTTGCCAAGCTTCTGCTGTAGAGCTTGGGTTCCGACAGCATCAATTCAGGAAGGGAAGGGTTACTTGGCGGAGACCTGGCGGGCCCCTGCTGCCCCATGCACTACAGCATGGCCTCGCCTCTCCCTTGAAGATGGGCATCTGTCTCTACACAGGTTCCAAGGATCACAGAGCACGTGACTGCGGGAACTGAACTGAAACAGGAGGTACATTTCCATTAGTGGAAATGCTATAGGGTAACTGGCTTTCCAGAAAACAGGGCTTTGGAAAGCCAGGTGAGTGATGTTGGCCATGCGGGGCTGTGGGCCTGCAGGTGGCAAGGTCATGCGGCTTACAAATGCACCATCAGGAGTATTCTAGCTGGGACCAGCAGGTGTCCCTGAGAGAGACTGGTCCCTGAAGCAGGCCAAGTGGAAGGATCTCCAGTCCACAGTCAGGTGGTTCTGTGTCAGCATAACACATTGGGGATGTCACGTCCTGCTGTACCAGCAGCCCTAACCCAGAAGCCACAGAAATGAATCTTACAAGTCAGTGTTCATTTTTTGTGGTGCAGGGGCTAGGGATTTAGCTCAGTGGCATAAGTGCCTGCCTTGCAAGCAGGCAGTCATGAGTTTGATCCCTGGTACCGATAAAAAGGAAAAAGACACACACACACAAAAGAAAGATTGTACATTTTTTGTGGTGCTAGGGATCAAACCCAGGGCCTTGTGCATGCAAGGCAAAAAGCACTCTACCCCTGAGCTACACTCCCAGCCCACTAAGTAGTTTTTACTTTTAAAAAGTGAAGTGCATGAGAGGGGAACATTCTGTGAAGAGGTGAACTGCAGTGTGGGTAACTACTAGTGTCGCATCTCATCTGAAGGAGGTTCCTTATAAAGGCTGGGACCCTGTGACCCTACGGGGAGGAAAAACATGCAAACAGGTTTGTGTTGAGCTCTGTGACTACTGCCTCTGTCTCCTGCTATGCCAGTTAAAGCCCAGGTCTAGTGCTGTCAGTCTCCTTGTCTGGCCTCTGCTCTTGATGCCCCAGATGAGTGTTTTGGAAATAGAAGCAGGAAACCTTACAGGTGAGATAACATTTAGTTGTGCTGGGCCAACACCAGGGTAGGGGTAGGGGTAGGACCCACGGTTACCTGTGTGTCCAGATCCTATTTCTGTGTATGAGCTGAACACCTTGGACCTAGACATCACCCAACGAGATGTCACTACATACATTTCCTGTTCAGCCACACATGTGACAGCTTGGAAGGAACCTCTGCTAGTGCTGTCAGGTTTTGGGTGCCTCCCTGTCTGGTCTGTAGAGGGGTTCCCTGCATTTCAACTTGCACAGCCTCTGGGAAACTTCCTGTCCTCCACAGTGGCGCACAGTGGTCCCAGCATCCCAGGTAACCCTGAGCAAGAGGCAGTCCTGACACCACCCCTTCCATGGGCAGCCTTCCCTGCACTGACTCAACTGGGCTTGGAACTCCACCAGGCAACATGTGCATCACTTTCCTTCCTTGGCTCTACATCTGCAGAAGCTGGGCTTAGGCCCAGGTAGTCTCTGCAGTCCCCAGGAATGATGGCATCCATGTTTTATAAGCCACCTCAGCACTTCCAATCATCCATGCAGCTGGGAGGCTGGCCTCTGGCAAGTTGTGGAGGGCTGGTTCCTTTCTGGTTTCATGCTGATTTACTTCACAGCAGGGTTAAAATCCAGAGTGGCAGTGTGTGGAGCAACAGAAAGCTGATATTCACAGGGTTTGCACTTGGCAATAATTGGGCAAGTTCTGACTGGACTTTCTGCTTTTCATCTCTTAGCTGACCAGACCTGCCCACTAGAGCTTGGGTAGACTCCAGGGCATCAGGAGGCAAGGCCACAGGGCACAGAAACATGGGAAATGAGAGTATCAGGTTGTTGGGTGGTGAAGACCACTGGATAAAAATGAGTCAGATGCCAGGGGAAGCCAGCAAGCAGGCTCATGGCCAGGCCACCTGATGGCCGCTTGGGGCTGGAGACCATGCCCATTACTGAAATGTGGAACAGTTCAAAAGATGGCTACTGAGAAGATGACATCTTCATCCACAGGATATCACTCTGTAGAAATACTTAAAAAGTATTCCTTTTGCTTCCAAAGTTTTAAGAGAGACAGGAATGTAGCTCAGTATTACAATGCTTGCCTAGCATTCAGGAGGACCTGAATTTCATCCTGGAAACACACATAGAACATTCAGGTAAGTTGAAAGCTTTCTCAAACTATATTTGGCCCTCCCTGGAAAGAAAAACTGTAAAGGCAGTGAGAGATGAGGCACCAACTCAGCCGAGGGACAGACCTGTAGGTGATTTGAATACGATGGATCTGAGATGGGCATGTTGGTAGATGCCCATAGTCCTAACACTCAGGTGGCTGAGGCAGGAGGATCAAGGCAAGGTTGAGGGCAGCCTAGATTGCGTAGTGAGATCCGGCCTTAACCAAAAACAACAAAAAAGACAGGATGGGTACCTCCTGGGACGTGTGTAGCCGCAGTCTGGAAAGCAGATCAGTGGGACCAAGTGTAGTCTGAGGACCTGTCCTGGGGACAGCCTGCCCTCCCCATTCAAAAGGCCGGTACTATAAGGAAAAGGCTGTCACTCCCACAATGGAAAATAGGTATTTATTATAAAAGTTTGCTTCATGATCAAAGTAGAAAAATAACATATGCACCACTACAAAGGTCCTGCAGGTCAGCCTCATGGAGGAATGGCCAGGAGCCTGTCACACCCCCAGCACCACCCAGATGCTCTCTGGGTATGCTCGTGACTCCCAGGTATGGCATGATACCTACAGGAGCCTTGATCCACAAAGGATGGTCCAACTGTGGTGATCAAAGAGGAGGACTTGAGGTCTCCAGGGACTGACAAAGACCAGAATGTGGCCAGCCTGCCTCTCTCCCTAGAGGAGAGGAGGTATCTCCAGGCTGATGGTCCTGGTCTGGAAGACACTGGCCTTGTCGGGCTGGGTGCTGGGACACTGCTGACGAAGAGTGGCGTGGCCCTCCCCAGGCCAGCGTGCACATTGCTTCTCAAAGCGAGGCTGAAGTGCTGGGGTATGTTGGCCTGATGGGCTGCAGGCTGAAACCTCTGCACTTTAAATCTTGTCCATACTGATGGCAGAAAGAAAGACAGAAAGGTAATGTTACAGGTAGGTGAGTGAGCATCTGGCCCAAGCTGTTCATATTCCAAGTCTCTTGGCTCCAAAGACTCAGAAGAGTATCTTGCCTAGAAGGAACATTCCACAAGAAACAGGAGAGGCAGACATCCAGCCCTCCCTCCCAGAGCAGCACATCCCCTTGTGGAGGCCCAGACCTGGAGAAAGCGGCCAGGGTAAGCACCTCCAGCAGCAACTCGGCACCGCAGAAGAGAAGCAGAATGCCATTCATGATGGCCTCCAGACGGAGCACGTAAGTCTGCAGCAGCAGGTAATATGAGGCCATCACGGCCGACGGGAGGGTCAGGGCCACGCTGATGCCAAGTGGCATCTTTCGCTGGCAGAGGTTCCCCTTGGTACCTGTCAGACACAGTCAGAGTCAACTCCATAGGACCTCTTTTCCTGGCCTCAGAAGGCTGACTGGGATGTGACTGAGAGGCCAGCAGAAAAAAACTACAGGGTGGGGAGGCTCTGTCTAGGCTTAGGGAAGTCACTGCATTGGGGTCATTTACTACAGAGGGCCCACTCTCAGAATGGCTCCCCCCAAAAGTGTAATTATAAAAATAACATACATTCATTGAAAACTTTCAGCTAGTACAGAGAGTAATCTTACCAAATACACAATATATATGTATCCCAAACATATAAAGTATCTGTCCCCAGACCCTCTATGACGGTAGATATTGTAAATCTGTGGTTGTTGCCAACCCAATGGGTGAAAAAATGATGCCTTATTGTTTCAGTTTTTATTACTAACTTAGGGCATCTAATCTAGTTTATTGGTCTTTCACTTTTAAATGAAATTTTATTGGTACATTTTAGGTATAATGATCACATTCATCATAGAGATTTTGTACATGTATATGATATAACTGGACTTTTTTCCCAATCCCCTGCCCTCCCTTCAACCTTTCCTCCCCTCCCCATTTACAAACACTGTTTCCATTTTTTCCTTCTTTTCTCATTTTTTAAATTTTCCTTCTTTCAAAGTTCCCTTCCCCTCCTCACTCCTTTTCACAGTTGAACATTTTCTTCCTATAACACAATTTAATTCTTCACTCTTATGTGGACAGTCTATTTGTATCTCTCACCAAACTTTAAAATTGTCTTTTCCTGAGGTGACTTATGTGAGTCTTCTTTATCCTTTTTTGTATCTGTTGCAAGTTTGTAGTATTTATACTTTTAACACCACTTCCAAGGATGCACTCCTGTAACTGGAGAGGATTTAGCCGTGTGTCTGCTGTGCTACAAAGAGCCCCTGCCCAGGGAAGCTGAAGGTATCTCAGAGCTGGGCAGGCTGTTCTGCCCCTGACATAGTCACCGCGGGAACTTCTCCCCAGCTGACCATCGAGAGAAGCCCGGCTCTCCCATGGTGAGGCAGCCTTGGGAAGGACCTGAGAGGCCACAATGCAGCCCACCTCTTGCTCCTGCGCTGCAGCGCAGCCTGAAGCTTCCCCTGGGAAGTAATGGATACACTGCCTGCCTGTGTCTCTCACTGCTGAGCCTAGGTCACAGCACTGTGTCTTGCTAATCGAGTTACAGTCTCATCAGGATGGAAATATTCTCTGGACAACACTAACCAAAGAACAGTCGGATTACTTCAATTCCAAGATACAGCAGGAGCATCACCACGTCCAGGACCAGGTTGGCCGCAGGATAGGGCAACAGGAGACCTAGCGAGACAAGGGGAGGCGTCTACGGACCACACAGCCCGCTGCGCACGTGTCTCCGCGTTCCGTGGAGCAGGCAGTCTGGGGTAGTCCGCTAGCCACCGATCGGGATACAGGGGTGCAAGAGACGTGCTCAAGAACCCCGTGGCCAGGCAGGCTTCTGCCGCACAGGAAGGGGTGCAGGGAGGTGGTGAGCAAGGTGTGCTGGCCCAGGGTAGAAGGGGGAACGGGACGGGTAGGCGGGTCAGCCCCGGCCTTACCTTTATACAGGAATATGAAGAGTTCTAGCAGGAAGTAGGTAGCATAATACCAGCCGTTCAGAAAGAACAGGATTTCCAGGGCCGTCGAGGACAGCCTTTTACCTGAAAGGGGCAGAACGTGGGGCTGGGGCGACGCCAGAACTGGGGGGGGGGGGGTGAGAGGCCGGGCCCTAGGGACGGGGCGGCGGGGCTGCCTTCGCTCTCCTTGCCCAGGATCACTGTCAGACGTAACTCCTTGGCTTCGGGGGACAAAGCCAGGCGCTGACTCGGCAGTCACCCTGCCGAAGGGTGCCTCAGAGACCGAAGCTGGCGGTCCCTGTGTGGGCGTGGAGGCTGGTACCGCTCGCTCGCGGCCGCTGGCTGCTCACGGGGCCGGTGAAGGCGGGCAGCGATGGCCTTCACGCCTGAAACCGGGGATTTTCGGTCGAGGGCTGGGCTGGAAGGGAGTGGAGGGGCTAGCGGTACCCTCAGGACGGGGACCAGCAACTCACACACCTCCGGAACCTCACCTCGCGGAGCCATCCTCAGTCCCCATGGAAACTGCGTACGCGGCCGCGGCCGCTCCCGGAGCAGCGAGGCGCAGCCGGAAGCGGTACGGAGCGGCCCGGCCTCTGCCCCTCTGCCTGCTGGCGGCACTCTATGGTACCCTCCCAACCTCCGGCCGCTGCGCATGCGCAGAAGGGGAGCCCGGGGCCCGCAGTGGGCGGTTCGCGGTCAGCTGTCGCAGTTCGTGGTGTTGTCCTTCCGACCAGGCGTCCCGGGTTTAGAACGCTGGGCAGGGAACCGGTCTTATCGCCACGATGTCTTTAGCGGGAAGCGTCTGAGGAAGAGCCGCGGAAGGGTCCACCATGAGGCGCCGCCCAGGGCTCTGGCCGGGTCGAGCGTTCCCGGGACGCAGGCGGCGAGGCCGGCGCGCCCCTTTCGGGATCCGACTGGGGCCCAACTGCAGCCGCACTGTGCCAAGCGGGGCGCGGGTCCCACACCCTGCACCCCGTCCCACGCTGCTAGGCGCTGCAGTGAAAGCAGAAGCTCTGCGTCCGCAGCCCCCAGCAAGGCCTGGCGCTCGCCACCGCCGCGGGGCTGGTATGCGCGGCGGGGCGGAGCCGCGGACCCCGGACCTGCGCTCGGTCTCACGCCATCCGCCTGCCTGGGTGGATCGGCAGCCGCATCGGCAGCAAGTAAAGGCGAGTTTGCTGCCTAGGCCCCTTTGTAAGTGCACTCTTGAGTCTGATTTTGCCTTTATTCCGCCGATGCGCTCAACGACAGGGACTCTTTCCCCAGGGCGTAGCCAACTCTGCCGGCTGAGATATACGGGAAACAGTTGCAGTGGCAGCGTGGTTCCGCGCTCCGCAGGAAGCCCCGTGTGCGAGACCCGCCGCTAGCCGTGCTGAGAATTCGGGGTCCTGGGGCACTTCCTGTGCGTCCTGCAGGGCGCAGGCAGAGGCCTCTGGGTCGCCAGTTCCCACTGGCCCTGCTGGTTTCGTGGTCCCTCATGGAGCCATAGCTTCTCTTTCAGCGGGATCCTGCGCATGCCCCCAGCGAATCCCTGAATCTAGGTGTGGGGGGCCCTGACACAGATGTGTTATCTTTACCACCAGGTTTCATTTCCGGTATTTTGTTCAGGTCCTTACACATGTTTATGAGAGATCTGCTTTCTTATAAGGACTTTGTCACATTGGTTAACAAGGTTAAATCAGTTTCATGAAATGAAGTAAAGGCAGGCGTGGTGGTGTACGCTTGTGATCCCAGCACTATGGGAGGACAGCCTTGAGTTTGAGGCCACCTTGTTTTACACACTGAAGTCAAAACCGACCTGAATATGCACTGGGAGGTCCTGTCTCCAAAAACCAAAAAAGAAAAAAAAAAAACCAGAAAGCTTCTGTTTTTGTTTTCTGGGGAACACTGTATAAGACAGGTACTATATTATTTCTTAATTAACTATTTGGAAGAATAGCATGACAGACCCATACACACCTGGAATATTTTTGAACACGCAAGGTTTTTTTAAATTTAATTTTAAAGGAAATAAAACACGGGAGGCTGAGGCAGGAGGATCATTGCAAGTTCAAGAGCAGGCTGAACCCTATCTCAAAAACACAAAACAAAAAAACATGAAACCAATCGAAACTAGTAAGACTGGGGAAATCTACAATCGTTACTATAGTGCATATTGTTATCCTCTAAATAGTTGCTAGGCTTCAGGCCTGCAAAGTCAATCAATACATACAGTTCCTCCAAATCAGCTGGTTCTCTCCCCAACCCCCACAGTGAGCCCACAGGCCAGCTCACAGGCTGGGGATTAGCTTGAATGTAAAAGTTTAAAACCCCGCAGATTTTTACTTCTTGAGTAAGGTTTGGGTAGACTGTGTTTTTCAACAGTTTTCTCATTTTGTATTGACCTCCAAATGTGGGGTGAAGTCTGTTACCATTCCTTATATTTAGTAACCCTGAGGTCTCAGGCTGTCAGAGCCAGGGATCAAACCCAGGGCCTCCCCCTGGCCAGGCCACTGCTCCATGGAGCATGTGCATGGATGCTCCTCCAGCCCCTTCCCTGATATTTTCTATTTCCTTTTTGTTCTTTTGAGTTGGGGGCTGACAGTGTAGCCCAGGCTGACCTTGAATTCAGAGTGATGCTCCTGCCTGTTTGGTTTCTTTTTTCTTGATTAGTTTTCATGGGCTTATCAATGTAACTAACCTTTTACTTCACTTTTCTGGTTACCTATTTTTGGTGTCCTGTCCCCGAGTTGTCACCCCCATCTCTTTCAGTTTCACTGTTTGTCTGTTTTGAGATGGAAACTTGGGTCTGAGCCTTTCACACTTCCTTCTTTTTTTATTTTGGTGGTGCTGGAGATAGAACCCAGGGTGTCACTCACTCATGCCAGGTGAGTGCCTACCACTGAGTTTATACCATCAGCCTTGACTCTCCTCTTGTCTCATATTTGTAGGTTTTTTTGTTTTCTTTTGTTTTTTGAGATAGAGTCTGGCTAAGTAGCCCAAGCTGGCCTTGAACTGAGCAATCCTACCTCAGCCTCTCGAATACTGGTGATGTAGGGGAATGAAACTCCTGAACTACTATGTCGGGTACAAGCTCATGTTCTCTAAAATCAAAGAATGAATTTTAGGAACAACCGAGGTTAAGAGCAGAATATATTTATTGAGAGAAAGAAAGCTTCTGTCTGAAGAGAGACAGAAGGGGTCCCAAGTGGGTTACCCAAGACTCTTGGCTTTTCCAGAAACTTTTATAGAGTAAAACCTATGGGTTCAAGGTGGGGAGGCAGGGGACAGGACTGGGAACTCACAAGGCAGATGGGCATAACGTGGGACATAATTATGGTTAACCTATAAAAATCAATAGTTCAGGTGCTGGGGATTTAGCTCAGTGGCATAAGCACCTGCCTTGCAAGCAGGCAGTCGTGGGTTCGATCCCTAGTACCGATAAAAACGAAAAAGACAAAAAAAAAAAAAAATCAATAGTTCAGGTAAAATTGATTACGTTAGGGACAAGTGGGAAAGCAAGTCATGTAGGAAGCGGGGCATTCTTAAAGCTGTAACCTTTCCCCTAGGGGATGTGTAGTGACTCCAGGGTGATAGGGAACTAATTAGAATACCAATCTTAAGGAAGTAGATGCATTTGTTTGATCCTTTGTCTTGAGGACTGGCCCACAGCAGGAGGTGTCTGTTTTCCCCACAGTTACAAGGTATCTGCATCAGCTCCTTTGGGGACCTAGCCCTGTCTCACTGCCTGTGATATTTTAACTAACTCGGCTACCTGCAACACTGAGATTATAGGCACACACCACCACTTCATTATTGTGGGTTTTTTTTCATTTTTGTGTTTTAAGACTACAAATTCCTCCCTTCACATATTAATTTAGAGACATTTGTGAATTCTATGATCATGCTAAGTTAAATGTGTTTACAAATAGTGATGGCTTTTAAGGAGTCTTCAGGATTTTAAACATCGTTTTCAAGTACAGTTTGTCCTCTTCCTTCTCAGGAGGAAGTTGCCTCCTGTTTTTAGTTTGCAAAGTTTTTATGTGAGTGAGAAGTGAAATTCATTCTGGCTTCAGTTATTTCCTGATCACAATAAAATGCTATTTTTCTCTAATTCCACGATACAGTGAATTTCGTTTGTTCTTTTTTAATTGCTAAATCCATCTTACGCTCCTGGAATAAACCTCATTGGTGACCCTGTGTTTATTTTTATATTGCTGGACTCAACTCTCCGATGTTTTTTGATTACCTCACTTTGTAGTCTGGGTTGGCTTTAAACTCATGATTCTCCTGACTGGACTTCCCAAGTGCCAGGATTACAGGTGGCCCCATTTACCTGGCAAATGTACTGGGTACAGCTGCCAGCAGTACTGTAGGACTTTTAGTATACCTGAAATACACTGTATATAATTTTGAGCGCATTGGCACCTATAGTTCTAGCTACTCAAAAGGCAGGAGGCTTGTTTGAGCTCAGCTGAGGACCAGCTTGAGCAGCACAGTCTCAAAAAAAAAAAAAAAAAAAAAAGCAACTCGCTTGTGTATGAACGCACATGTGTGTCAGGACCTATTTCCTGTGTACAGTCCTGGCAAGCTGTGCCACTGAACTGGAGGTGGCTCCTTCACTATGGGCCCTGGTTATTGACCTCCTGGTTTCCTGATAATGTAGCTCCGTTTGGCGGAGCCATAGTCCAGGACCTAACTTCTGATCAGCTATGCTCTGTCTGTCTCTGCGTTGGCTGTCTATATCTTGTCTGATCATTATTCTCCTTCCCTTCTACTTTGTTCTTTTTCTATTTTAAAATGAAACCTTAGACACATTTTAATTTCTTTTAAAACACGTTTATTTTTGCTGTCCTGGGAATCAAACTGAGGAACTTTGCATTGCACTACGTTCCCAGCATACACACACTCTTATTTTTTTTTTTTTAATTTTGAGACAGGGTCCCCCTAAATTGCCCCCACTGGGCTCAAATTTGCCCTCCTCCTGCCTCCAGATATGGCCCACCATGTCTGACCGGTGTGGAATTCTTCCCTGTCCCCTGATTCAGATCCTGCACAGGGCAGGTGAGTGGTGCCCCCATGTCCCATGTACAGAGGCACCAGGCCAGCAGCTGACACGAGGGGCCCAGTAAGGGCAGATGATGGCTGGGGCAATGACCGGCGCAGCCCCCCAATGAGACAGAGGATGCTCTTGTGGGTAACAGGTAACTGCCGCTTTATTCACGCGGGCTCTGGTTTATATATTCGGACGTGACCAATCGGGCTGCCACAGAGTCAGCATGGGGCGAATACGGAGTGAGCACGAGGTGCGCACGGGAGGGCTAGTTTAAAGAGGGACATAACGCATTGCGGAAGCTGACGTGGTCTTATCGTCCCGGGCCGGGGTGTGTTGAGCGCCTGCGCCCGACATCTCCCCCTTTCTTTGTAACTGACGCAGGGTCTCCAGGAGTTGGTGCCCCTCGTGAGGTGTCACGCTGCAGTCATGACAGTGCCTCACTACTCGTTGGTGCTCTTTTGGAGGGGGCGGGAAATCTGTTTTATGAGCCCAACCCGCATGCTCATTGACTTGGAGACCGGGGTGTCTCCTGGCCAAGGACGACACCCCCTGCGATGCTTTGCTCCACACCTGCGTCACAGCATGGCGAGCCATGCTGCCGGGCTTTGACCAGATTCTACGGCCAGCAATGCTTGTTTGATACTTTGTCCCTATTCCTTTGTCTGTGAATCCGACAGAGCAGAAGCAGACTGCCGAATGCGGCAAATGTAGTCATGGTAGCCAGAGCCCCTATTCCTGCTCATTCCTTTATGAAAGCCAATTGGAGAGTTGGCCCGAGCTGGATCACAGGAAACTCGTCTGGGTCCGTCATAACTGGAATCGGTACGAACTGGAGTACCTGCATAACGACAGCTGAAAGTGTACTGTTATCCCAACATAACATGTTGCGGTGGAGCAATTTCAAACAACAGAAAAGGATTCCCTGATAGGGCCCGAGATCTCTAACACTTGCAGGGCATTGACGACATAATGTGAGTCTGAGAGTAGGTTGAAAGGCTGTGGGTACTGTTTAAACACTTCTATGATGATTTTTAGTTCTGTTAATTGAGGTTGATCAGGTGTAAATAGTTACCAATTCTGTTAATTGAGTTTGCCTGACTTTGGGTGTCTAACTTCCTCCTTTCCGGCGGCCGCTGCATCCGCCATTTTGTATACTTCTTCTTCCTCCCCCTCATTATCTGACAAGTCCTCTGTTTCTGGGTTGGGTGCGGTCGCCTCGCCTGCGACACTGGGCTCACGAGATTGCTCGCGGGAAGATTCTGCCTGATGGTGACCAAGCGCCATGGCGCCAGCCCTTATATGGTCACGACAAGAGGCGTCTGCGAGGCAGCTCCTCACTACTGCCCAAAGGGGTCTGACTCCTGGCTCCAGGAGGCCATTTTCTGCTGCAAAGTCAAGATCTCTCCCTAATTTATCCCAGCTGGGGATGGTAATGGACCCCGTGAGACCAAACCAAGGTGCTACCT